GAACAATGACATGGCTACATGCAGGTCCAAGTGTGCCATAAGCTTGAGACCGTTCCCAAAGCTGCTGCTTACATACGGGAAGCAGACCACATACCCAAAGGCAGCTACTCAGCTCCTTGTGGTAGATCCCACCATGGAGCTGATTGCCAGTCTCATCATGGGGAATAACTACCACCAGCTGCCCAGCTACTTAACCAGGCCCAGCCAAGTTGACACACAAACTTAACCACCACAATTAATAACAATTATTATTATTAAGGTCTAAGACCTAGTAAAGCAAAGGTAAACTTGCCCATTCACTCGCCATTAGTCCACAGCAGGTAATCATTTGAATCTACCTGGAAGAAGTCATGAGCACCTGCTGTGTGCTTCCAGGAGAACTGTAGGCATACATAAGCTGACACAGGCATACCTTGTTTTATTGTGCTTCCTTTACTCACTTTGCAGATACTGTTTTTACAAATGTAATGTTTGCAGCAACCCTACCTCAGGGAAGTGTGTCGGCATCATTTCTCCAACAGCATGTGCTCACTTCCTGTCTTGATGTCACATTTTGCTCATTCTCACAATATTTGTAACTTTTTTATAATGCTACTGGACAATTAACAGACTACCAAAACCAAAAAGACAAAACAAAACAAAACAAAAAAACCCAAAACAAATCCACTGCTATCAAGTTGATTCTGACACTGCGCACCCCTACGGGACAGAGTAGAACTGTCCCATAGAGTTTCCAAGGCTTACAGCTTAAGGAAACAGACTCCCTCATATTTTTTCTAAGGAGTGGCTGGTAGGTTCAAACTGCTGACCTTTTGCTTAGCAGCCAAATGCTTTAACCACTGCACCACCAGAGTTCCCACTACTAGACTACAGTATAATGTGAACATAATTTTTATATGCATTGTGAAATCAAATTATTCATGTGTCTCACTTTATTGACATACTCGCTTTATTGCAGTGGACTGGAACTGAACCTGCAGTATCTGCAAGGTCTGTTTGTACGGATGTTTACTGTTTCCTTACTTTTACTCAAATAAGGAGCTGCTACATTTATTATTATTTTGGTGCTTAACCCTTTCCTCCTAATAATATATTTTAGTGCTCTTTCTGTATCACTATGTAAAGATCTTCATTTTTATAAAATTGGTGAATATTATGACAGGTGAATATATGAATGTACCATAGTACATTTTTCTTGTCTCCTTTTTATGAACTTTAAATTTTCAATTCTTTTTTCTTGGAAACAATCCTGTAATGAAAACCCTTTTATATACATCAGTTCCCATTCAGGCAAGTGTACCAGGAGTATATATTTCTAGCAGAGAAACTGACAGGTGGAGAAGTTTGCAATTTTCAAAGTACCAAATTGTCCTTTGCAGCAGCAATACAATTCACACTCTTACCAGCAAACTTTTGACTCAAGATTCTGGCTAACAGAGAATATTGTCACATTTTGGATTATTTTCCAATCTGTTAGGTGAAAAATGATAGTTTACAATTTTAATTTAATTTACAATTTCTTGTATCAGGGAATTTAAATATCTTTTATGTGTTTGTGGTGCAGTGGTTAAGACATTTGGCTGATAACCAAAAGGTTGGTGGTTTGAACCCACCAGCAGCTCTGCAGAAGAAAGACGAGGCAGTCTGCTTCCATAAAGGTTTACAGCCTTAGAAACCCAATAGGGGACACTATGAGTCAGAATTGACTCAATGGCAGTGTTCTGTTTTTGTTTTTCATATATTTGAGCTATCTGTATTTCTTTCTCTGAATTCATTGTTTATATGTCTCCATTTTTCTATTGAGTTGTTGAACTTTTTCTTATCTATCTATATGGACTCTTCATACATTAGGGAAAATAGCTGTGTCTGTGATATGAGTCACACTATTTCCTCTAAATTATCATTTGTCTTTTGGCCTTTTATTATTTTTTTTCTTGCAAAAGTTTATTTTTATGCTGTCAATATTATGACTTTTTTTAAATAACTTCTGGGTTTTATGTTAAAGTTATGAAATTATTTTTTCATATCTTCTTCTAGCACTTCTATACTTTCATTTTTATATTTGCATATGGATATAATTAGAATTTCTTCTAGACACTTGGGTCCAATTTATTTTTTCCCTGGGGGTGGGGGAGGTTCCAACACTACTTATTAAATACTCCTTCTTTCTCTGCCACTTACATGAGGGGCCATCTTTAGATGCTATCTAAAATTATATATGAATCAGGGACTAATTCAGAGATTTCTGTTTTTTCATTGCACTGTGTTGCTTCTATGTTACCATAATTAAGAGTTTAGAGTAGGATTTTAATCTCTGCAAATAATTTAATCTCATTTCTCCACTTCACAAAAGCACATTATTAGTTCTTTTAACTTACTGAAATTAAAAGAAATTTACTGTCAGCTTTACTAGGTCTGCAGGAGCTCTGGTGGTGTTGGGCTGCTAACCTAAAGATCAGAGGTTTGCACCCACCAGCCACTCTGAGTGAGAAAGATGTGGCAGTCTGCTTCTGTAAAGATTTACAACTTGGAAACTTTATGGGCAGTTCTACTCTGATCTATAAGGTCACTATGAGTTGGAATCAACTCAATGGCAGTTTGGTTTTACTCGGTCTGAAGACTGTCGTTGTTGTTAGGTGCCACTCAGTCGGCTCCGACTCAGAGCGACCCTATGTGCAACAGAACGAAACACTGCCTGATTCTCTGCCAGCCTCACAATCCTTGCTATACCTGAGCCCATTTTTGCAGCCACTGTGTCAATCCATGTTGTTGGTGGCCTTCCCCTTATTCACCGACCCTTTACTTTACCAAGCATGATATCCTTCTCTAGGGAATGGTCCCTTCTAACAACATGACCAAAGTAGGTGAGACGAAGACTGGCCTTTCTTGCTTCCAAGGAGCATTGCAGCTGCACTTCTTCCAGGCAGATTTTTTTCGTTCTTCTGACAGTCCATGGTATTTTGAGTATTCTTCGCCAATATGACAACTCAAAAGCATCAACTCTTCTTCTGTCTTCCTTATTTGTTGTTCAACTTTCACATGCATAAGAGGCAATTGAAAACACCATGGCTTGGGTTAGGCACACCTCAGTCTTCAAAGAGACATCTTTCTTCTTTAGCAGTTTAAAGAGGACTTTTGCAGCGGATTTGCCCAGTGCAATACCTTGTCTAATTTCTTGACTGCTGCTTCCATTGGTATCCAAAACTTCAAGCTGAAAACTAGTAGGTTGGTATTTTTGTCTGGAATTGAAGTTTATAAACTTATTTAGGGAGACCTGGCATATTTATGTGTCTTTGCTTCCTATCCAAGAAAAAGATAGACATTTCTAGATGTTTGAACAATTTTTGTTAATGATTTAAATATATGTGTAAAACATTTCTTTTAAGCAATGTGTTTAAAATGTTTAAGCATTATTTTCATTTTTTTAAAATGTTTATTCTTGTAAATCTACTTTAGGATCATCTTATCCAAGTTTAAACAAATGGTGTTTTTGTGGTCATGCAGAGAGCAATAATTTGGGAAATGAATTTTGCAGGATTTGACACCTTTACACTCTTCAGTGTCCCTTTCTGAGACACATGGGATGTGTTTGGTCACACTTGGTACTTATTGAGAATCAACTCTTCTCTCTCTTATCTTCCTTATCTAGACTCTGCTTCTTGGGTAGATTATATCTCTTATCTATCATTCAGTGGGCATTTTTATGTTCTAGACTTTAATGTCAATGATGTCATGCATTCATCTAATTTAATTGTTAAAACCACCTTGGTAAGTGAGCCTGGTTTCTGTTGCTTAAGTGAAGAACCAAGGCTTCCTTTGGTAGGCTGCCTGGGACTCAAACCATTCAGGCAGGATTTGAGCCTCATCTCTCCAACCTCCAGCTCCAAGTCTATGCTCTTAACCACTCCACTATCCAATGGGGAAGCCAGTGAATTTGATGAATTTATTTTCAGCCCAGTGGCTTAAACAGGATTTGGAGAAAAGTATATTTGAATTACAAATCCCAAGAATCAGCATTCTTCATCCCTAGTAGCAGACTGCTCAGTGCATCCTCTGTAGAAGCAGATGTGCTTAGAAAACTTCCAGCAAATTCAAAACATTAGAGAGGCCCTTTAGTGTTTTTTTTGCACATATTTAGCACAATCTTTGACATTTAAAAATTAGTTGTTTATTTTTTTCTTTAATACTTCCCACTAGTATTTTCTTATTTAAAACATACTTTCAGGAACCCTTGGAAATTACTACTTAAGTATTCCAATTTAGACAGACATCACATTGACATAGCATCAAAATACCTTTTTGTGGTCATGGCAGGAAGAAGGGTTTTTTGCTTCCCCCAGGGCCACTGGGAATTGATGTGAACTTCTTATGACATGTAAAGGTGTCTGGAGTTATTTCTGAGGTAGTTTCTCAACAACAGAGTTCAGTAGAACACAGAGAAAAATAATTATGAAAAAAATGGTCAAACACTAGCTTGTGAGTAATGTCTATTATCAGGGTGAAGATGAGTCCTTAGAAATGGGACTAAATCTTGTAATTCTCTTAGAGAACTGTAAATTATACAGAAATATACTTAACAGAAGAGGAAAGAAGAGAGTCACATGACACTAAGTATCCTCTCTGCAGCCTGTTTTTGCAAGATCATATAAGTATCTAAACCAAGGAACAAAGCCACTCTAGTTAGTACTGCTTCTCACACATGGGGACCATCTACTCCTGGACAGGTGGAGTTTTCTCTTGGTTAGTTTTCCATATCCTTGCACATGATTAGAGCCAGGACTTTTCAATCACTACTATTCATTGGGGTCTCCCACATGTGTTGTTTTGAGATGATGGGCCCTTTCAGCTGGGCATGTAGTTATCTGATCTAAAGCTGAGATTTTGAGAAGTTTCATGGAGTTTAGAAGCATGTGAAGTCAAGAAAGCAGATCACACCATCACTCAGGGACTTTGAGGCCAGCAGAGTCCATGCTCAGAGACCAGAGGTCAGTGTGATGAGGCTAGAGCTTTGTCCCTATTGTCACATGACTTGGTTCCTCTGCGTGTGGTCCATCTGGGTTCTGGCTCATGGCAGAGTTCTGCACTTGCTTTCCGCATTTGGCTGAGTAGATGATAAATACGCTTCTCATCAGGAAAATTCCAGCAATTGCTGCAAAATAACTGCCATACACTAAAAACTGGAAACAACAGACTAATCAGTCACATATAAAATCTAACCATCATAATCTTTAAACCTTGAACTGGAACTATCCCATGAAGCCATGGTTAAACTAAGCAACAGTTAACCCCTCTAAAAAACAAAACAACAGTTAAGCCCAGTTCAAGAATGTTTGCCTTGAGCCTTGTGGTCCTAAGAAGAATTATCTACATGAGTGTAAACTGGCCACAGTGAATCCAAAGCACAGATGAGAACTGTAAGGGACAGAGAGCCTAAATTCACAGTGATGAAACAATATGGGTACAGAGAGGGAGAATGGTGATGCAACGTGAAGTCCATAACCAATGTCATTGAATTGTTTGTGAAGAAATTGTGAATGGACCTTTGTATATATTGCCACTAAAAATAAGTATTTAAAAAATCTGACCATCTATGTCATTGATAAGGAGCTCTGGTAGCACAGTGACTAAGGCATCTGACTGCTAACCAGAAGGTTGATGGTTCAAACCCACCAGCCACTCCACAGAAGCAAGACTGGGAGATCTACTTCCCTAAAGATTTACCACCTTGGAAATCCAAGGGGGGTTGTTATGAGTCAGAACTGACTCAATGGCAGTGTTTTTCTTTTTTTAATATTATTGATAATACATAATGATGCTGTTTGCTTGGATTATGGGGTAGCTGAGACCCTGGGTCCCATGATGGGTCCTTTGTTTTTGTTGTTGTTATGTGTCATTGAGTTGGACCTGACTCATAGTGACCCCTTCTTGGGTTTCCAAGGCGGTATCACTACGGAAGCAGATTGCCCAACCTTCCTTCCAAGGAGTGGCTAGTGGGTTTGAACCGCCAGCCTTCTGGTTAGCAGTCAAGTCATTTAGATGTGCACAAAACATTGCTCTCTTGCATTTAGCTGAACCAGGTGTAAAAGGTTAAGGAGTACAGTGACTGGGATGGTGAGCTCTAAAGCCAGGCTGCTTGGGTTCGAATCTTACCTATTAGCAATAGTGAGAAAGCACAGACACGTCACTTACCTGCCCATGACTTTATCTGAGAGTGCAATGTCTCCAAGAAGGAATTTCTGACTAGTGAGGTTCTTCTTATCTGCATTGCCCCTCTTTTTGCAAATCCACATTTAAAATGTGAAATTGAGCGAATTGTACAGTTGCTCAGTGGAGCAAGGAGTAAGGAGTAAGGAGTAAGGGTTAGGCATGCACTAGATTTTCCCTGTGGAAGTCTCAGTCAACCTCAGAACTGGATGGTGACAGGAAGAGGGGACACATGAGGATGTGAAGGTGAGAATGGAACCTGATGAGACTTTAGAAGCAAAGGTCAGTACTGACCTACTTGTGAATATTGCCCGATACCTGTGTGGTGTGTGGTACTATTATAATCTAACCCAACCCAATGGCATTGTGTCAGTTCTAATTCATGACAACCCCATGTGTCACTGAGCAGAATGGCTCCCAGAGTGTTCTTGGCTGTCATCCTACAGAAGCACATCCCCAGGCCTTTCTTCTGTGGTGCCACTGGGAGGGTTCAAACCACCAACCGTTAGGTCTAGTGGAAACTGTTTGCACTACCCAGAGACCTTATACTATGACAATAAGAGAATTGCTTATTTCAAATTTGCCTAGCCAAGAAATTCTTCAAGAAATTTAAATGTGAGCAGTTGGAAGGTTGAAAAATCTTTGAAGAGCTTACCTTGTTTTTCTATACCCCCAGCAACTACATCAGTAGGAAAATAGGAGTGGGGCAACTTACCTGAACGCTGATTGGCAGATTGAGCCCTCTTGGGTCTACTACGATCACAGTGACAATGGTCTGGATCACCAAGGCAATGAAGGTGTTGATTCCAAACACCAGGGCGTAGCGTTCAACACTCAGATTAACTGCGATCTGAAATCTACCATGAAACATGTGGAGCCATCATGAAACGTGTCTTAACAAGAACACCTGTGATTTCTTTTCTTTCAGAGAGAGAAATTGAAGAGGAAGCAGTATTTTAGTAGCTCTTCTTGTCTCAATCTCCTCTGGTGCAGACTAACAGGCAGAGCAAAGAAAGGGAAATCAAAGGCTGGACCTGTAAGTATAACATGATAGAATTCCTGAACTCACCCATTTAACGCTTCCAGAAATTAACCTAACTGCTCTCATGTCCCCAAACTTGCAAAAAGTGGTACTTTACGATTTTAGGTTCTATTCAGCAGTGAGTTTTTATGAAAATACGAACACTGCACAATCTGAGGAACTCGTAAGGGTTATTCATTCCGTACCTATGTCTCAATCGACAGTTTCAGTGATAGGTAGGGGAATTACTATGGCTGGTTGTGCCACTGAGTGATGCTTGTAATTACTTCTAAAAATTATATAGATTTTAAAATCTTACAACAAAACATTAATGAGAAGGCTAGAAAATACGCACTATATAGACTTCTTCCTTGGAAAGCAGGTAAAGGCTTTGGATTCTGAATATATTTAAAATGATGTAAGAAAGAATGTAATCTTCCCTTAACCACAATCATCTTGGAAAGAAAAGAAGCAGACATTTCAATAAAAATGTAAATCTGCCAACAAGAGTTGTATCTCCTTTCTTTGTGTCATGATCTACCATTCCCTGAGTGCATGGATATTTGTTTTTATTATCTTTTTAAATTTTTTATTTTAAGAGTTTGTTTTACACTCAACATTATGTGTACATTTAGTTTCCCTCCCCACTTACCATCCCCAACCCTAACCCAGTCTCCTCCCCACCTGCCCAGTAACCCTCCCCCTGGGCCCCTCATAGGTAAGCATTGCTGTGTGTCCTGCATTTCCTCCCTGCGAGAATGTTGCCCCTCTGGTTGGATATTTGTTTTTATTTTTTTAAAAGAAGATGTTTGGGATTTAGAGTTCTTGTAACCTTCACATCTACTGTTTTCAGTATCCAACTTTTTGTAACATTCCTGAGAATCTTTGGTTTAATAAGTACGTGCCTAGGGTCACCAAGCAAACGAGAAGTTAGGGATGAAATGTGAACCTCATCATTGGCACTTCGATGATATCACATAGTTAAGGCAAATTGCTTCAAATGACAGTATATCATTGTTTTCAGTTTATAACCTACAGAGTTCCCCCCCCCTTGATGATTAAGCTTAGCAATATTCAGAGAGCAAATTAAATAATAAAATAAAAGAGATAGGTCTGTGATATCTAATTTAATATGGTGTGTTCACACAATTTATACTGCAATTGATTAAAATCCCTCTGAAGTTTGTTCTCAGAGGAACCGTAGGAATACTATGAGAAGAAGAATCTTGTGTTGGTTTAGTTTTAGGAGGTGAAAGAAATGGCAACACTCACACGGCGATGGTGATAAGCAGCATATAGCCTGACTTGAAGAGCAGATAGCCAGTGTAGCACACCCAGATGTTGGTCGTGTAATGCATGAGGAGTAAGGCACCTGCATTGACTACCGAGAAAATCCCCAGCACCAGCTCCCCCAGAAGGTTCCAGTTGACTTTCATGTAACCAACGGCAAAGGCAGCCACGGCCCCTGAGAAGGAACATCAACAGATTGACTTACATGGAAAGTATCAACATGCTCTGAAAAATCCAGCACTTTTTTCAAAAATGGGCACCACCCCAATGTGTTAAACTGCGCAGTCAATACCATTAATCTTTACATTGTTGTTGTTACGTACCATCAAGTCAGCGTCAACTCATAATGACCCTGTGCAAAAAAGAATGAAACGTTGTCCGGTCCTGTGCCATCCTCACAATCCTTGCTGTACTTGAGCAGATTGTTGCAGACTGTGTCAATCCATCTCATTGAGGGTCTTCCTCTTTTTTGCTGACCCTCTACTTTAACAAGCATCACATCCTTCTCCAGGGACTGATTCCTTCTGACAGGATGATCATAGTAGGTGAGAGGAAGTCTGGCCATTCTCGCTTCCAAGAAGCATTCTGGCTGCACTTCTTCCAGGAGAGATTTGTTTGTTCTTCTAGCTGTCCATCATGTTTTCAGTATTCTCCACCAACAGCACAACTCAAAAGCATCAACTCTTCTTTGGTCTTCCTTATTCATTGTCCAGCTTTCACATGCATATGAGGCAATTGAAAATATTATGGCTTGGGTTAGGCCCACCTTAGTCTTCAATGTGACATCTTTGCTCTTTGACACTTTAAAGAGGTCCCTTGCAGCAGGTCTGCCCAGTGCAATATGATGTCTGATTTCTTAACTGATGTTTCCTTGAGTGTTTATTGTGGATCCAAGTAAAGTAAAAATTTTGACAACTTCAATCTGTTCTCCATTTGTCATGATGTTGCTTTTTGGTCCAGTTGCAAGGATTTTTGTTTTCTTTATGTTGAAGCGTAATCTATACTGAGGGCTGTAGTCTTTGATCTTCATCAGTAAGTGCTTGGAGTCATTTTCACTTTCAGCAAGCAAGGTTGTGTCATCTGCATGTGGGAGGTTGTTAATGAGTCTTCCTCCAGTCCTGAGCCATGTTCTTCTTTATATAGTCCACCTTCTGAGATTATTTGCTCAGCATACAAGTTGAATAAATATGGTGAAAAAATACAGTCTGAGGTACACCTTGATTTTAAACTAAGTTCTGTTTGAACAATGGCCTCTTGGCCTATGTACAGGTTTCTCATGAGCACATTCAAGTGTTCTGGAATTCCCATTCTTTGCAATGTTATCCATAATTTGTTATAATCCACACAGTTGAATGCCTTTGTATAGGCAATAAAACACAAATAAACATCTTTCTAGTATTCTTTATTTCAGCCAAGATCTGCCTGACATCACGAATGATATCTCTATGTCAGTTCCCTGTCAAAATGCTGCAACCATTTTTGAATTATCATCAGCAAGATTTTACTTGCATGTGATATTAATGATATTGCTTGATAATTTCCACATTCTGTTGGATCACCTTTCTTTGGAATAGGTACAAATATGGATCTCTTCCAGTCAGTTGGTCGGGTAGCTGTCTTCCAATTTTGTTAGCATAAATGAGTAAGCACCTCCAGCAATGCATCCATTTGTTGAAACATCTCAATGGGTATTCCATTAATTCCTGGAGTCTTGTTTTTCATCAGTTCCTTCAATGCAGCCTGGAGTTCTTCCTTCAATACCATTGGTTCTTGATTATAGGCAACCTCCTGAAATGGCTGAATGTTGACCAGTTCTTTCTGATACAGTGACTTGATAGCTACTCTCTATTCATATTAATTTTATTTCTAATTTCCATACAGATATTAGGTTTAACCTAACACACTTGAGGCTTTGGGGGAATATACTTGTGAAGCCACTACTCACTTATCGACATGGTTAAGTTCCAAAGGCCAGGTCAAAATCGGCACTATGTGAAAATGGAGGATGATTATATCAGATCACAAAATGGAAGACTACATCATTATATAACTGCCAAATCACATCATTACATAACTGCCAAATCATTACAAATCATGGCCCAGCCAACCTGACACATAACCTTCACCATCACAGCCAGTGTTACTTACCTTGCATCTCAGTGTTCGTTACTGCCAGACGAATGCACAAAATAATCAGACAGCAGACATTTTCACTACTGTTGTAATTGCAAAATGTTGAATAAATGAGGAGTAAGTGTATTGATTTATAGAGTTCAGAAGATTAAATAATTGACAGTACTAGTAACTAAAAAACCAAAAAACCAAACTCACTGCCATTGAGTTACATCCAACTCACAGTGACCCCTCCTTGGGTTTCTGAGGCAGTATCACTGCGGATACAGCAGGAAAAGTGGAGGGGAAAGGAAAAGAAAAAAGGAAAGGAAAGCCAGGCTTGCTGAGCAAGCAGCAGAGGCATCCAGGAAAGGGGCGGGACCCAGGCCCCAACCCCCAAGCAGGAGGAAAAGTGGAGGGGAAAGGAAAGGAAAGCCAGGGCATGCAGGACAGAGTGAGCAAGCAGCAGAGGGATCCAGGTAAGGGGAGGGACCCAGGCCACAACCCCCAAGCAGCAGGAAAAGGGGAGGGGAAAGAAAAGGAAAGCCAGGGCATGCAGGACAGAGTTAGCACATGACAGAGGGATCCAGGTAAGGGGAGGGACCCATACCCCAACCCCCAAGCAGCAGGATAAACAAAGGGGAAAGGAAAGGAAAGCCAGGGTGTCCAGGACAGAGTGAGCAAGCGGCAGAGGTATCCAGGTAAGGGGATGGTGGAGAGATTTAGGACAGCTAAGGGAGACAAACTTGTCTATTACTTTGTCATGCTCTGGTGGTGTGTTGCTGTGAGGCTTGAAGCTGTGTCACTGGTGTTTCAAATGCCAGCAGGGTTGCACATGGTGCACAGGTTTCAGCGCAGCTTGCAGACTGAGACAGACTAGGAAGAAGGAGGCCATCCACTTCTCAAAGAATTGGCCAGGGAAAACCTTATGAATTCATAACAGGAAACACTGTCTGTTACATTACTAGGCAACTAGATGAATAGCCTGGAAACACTGTCTAATATAGTGCAGGATGATGAGGCACTGAGGTTGGAAGGCTCTCCAAATAGAACTGGGAAAGTGCTGCATCATCAGAGTAGAACCAACCTTACTGATATGGATAAAGTAAAGCTTTCAAGACCTCCATTCGCTGACATGACATGACTCAAGTTGAGGAGAAACAGCTGTAAACATCCATTAATAATTGGAACATGGAATGTATGAAGTATGAATCTGGGAAAATTGGAAGCTGTCAAAAATGAAATGGAATGCATAAAGATTGATACCCTAGGCATTAATGAGCTGAAGTGGACTGGTTTTGGCCATTTTTAATCAGATAACTATATGATCTACTTTGCCAGGAATGACAATTGGAAGAGGAATGGCATGGCATTTATCATCACAAAGGATATTTCAAGTTCTGTCCTGAAGTACAATGCTGTCAGTGATAGAATAATATCCATACATCCACAAGGAAGACCAGTTAATATGACTATTATTCAAATTTATGCACCAACCACCAAAGCCAAAGATGAGGAAATTGAAGATTTTTATCAATTTCTGCAGTCTGAAATTGACCGAATGTGCAATCAAGATGTGCTAATTATCACTGGTGACTGGAATGCAAAAGTTGGAAACAAAGAAGAATCACCAGTAATTGGAAAATTTGGCCTTGGTGACAGAAATAATGCTGAAGATCACATGATAGAATTTTGCAAGAGCAATGACTTATTCATTGCAAATACATTTTTTTTTTCAACAACACAGACGGTGGCTATACACATGGACTTCACCAGATGGAATTCACAGGAATCAGATTGACTATACCTATGGCAAGAGGTGATGGAAAACCTCAATATCTTCAGCCAAACCAGGCCAGGAGCTGATTGTAGAACAGACCATCAACTGCTCATATGCAATTTCAACTTGAAGTTGAAGACAATTAAAACAAGTCCATAAAAGCCAAAATATGACCTTGAATATATCCCTCTCGAATTTAGAGACCATCAACAGAATAGTTTTGATGCATTGAACACCAATGACTGAAAACCAGAAGAATTATGGGATGACATCAAGAACATCATCCATGAAGAAAGCAAAAAGTCATTAAAAAGACAAGAAAAAAAATAAAAAAACCAAAATGGATGACAGAAGAGGCTCTGAAGCCTTCCCTTGAGTGGAGAGTAGCCAAAGCAAATGGAAAAACTGACAAGATAAAAGAGCTGAACAGAAGATTTCGAAGAGCAGCTCGAGCCGACAAAGCCAATTACTATAATGAAATGTGCAAAAACTTGGAGTTAGAAAACCAAAAGGGAAGAACACAGTCAGCATTTCTCAAGCTGAAAGAACTGAGGAAAAAAATTAAGCCTCGAGTTGCAATGTTGAAAGATTCTATGGGCAAAATATTGAATGATGCAGGAAGCATCAAAAGAAGATGGAAGGAATACACAGAGTCACTGTACCAACAAGAACTGGTAGATCTTCATCCATTTCAGGAGCAGGCATATGATCAAGAACCAATGATACTGAAGGAAGAAGTGGGAGCTGCACTGAAGGAATTGCCAGAGAACAAGACTCCAGGAATTGATGGAATACCCATTGAGATGTTTCAACAAACAGATGCCTCACTAGAGGCATTCGTTTGGTTATGCCAAGAGATTTGGAAGACAGCTACCTGGCCAACTGACTGGAAGAGATCCATATTTCTACCCATTTCAAAGAAAGGTGATCCCACAGAATGTGCAAATTATCGAACAATATCATTAATATTGCATGCAAGTAAAATCTTACTGAAGATAATTCAAAAAATGGTTGTAGCAGTATATTGACAGAGAGCTTCCAGAGGTGCAAGCCAGATTCAGAAGAGGATGTGGAACAAGGGATATCATTGCTGATGTCAGGTGGATCTTGGCTCAAAACAAAGAATTCCAGAAAGATATTTACTTGTGTTTTATCGACTATGCAAAAGCATTTGATTGTGTGGCTCATAACAAATTGTGGATAACATTGAAAAAATGGGAATTCCAGAGCACTTAATTGTATTCATGAGGAACCTGGATTTTGACCAGGAGTCTGTCGTTCAAATGGAACAAGGGGACACCGCATGGTTTAAAATCAAGAAGGAGTGTGTCAGGGTTGTGTCCTTTCACCATACTTATTCAATCTGTATGCTGAGCAGATAATCCGACAAGCTGGACTGCATGAAGAAGAACGTGGCATCAAGATTGGAGGAAGAATCATTAACAGCCTGTGATGCGCTGATGACACAACTTTGCTTGCTGAAAGTGAGGATGACTTAAAGAACTTACTGATTAAAATTCAAGAATACAGTCTGCAGTATGGATTATATCTCAATATAAAGAAAACAAAAATTCTCACGACTGGACCTATAAGCAGCATCATGATAAATGGGGAAAATATTGAGGTTGTCAAAGACTTTTCATTGCTTGGTTCTATGGTCACTGCCTACGGAAGCAGCAGTCAGGACATGAGACGACGTATAGCACTGGGCAAGTCGGCTGCAAAAGACCTCTTTCAAGTGCTGAGGAGCAAAGATGTCTTCTTGAGGACTAGGGTGGGCCTGACACAAGCCATGATATTTCCAATCGCCTCATATGCTTGTGAGAGCTGGACAATGAATAAAGAAGACCGAAGAAGAATTGATGCTTTTGAGTTGTGATGCTGGCGAAGAATGCTGAAAGTACCATGGACTGCTAAAAAAAACCCACCCACTGCCATAGAGATGGATCCGACTCATAGTGACCCCTTCTTGGGTTTCCGAGGTGGTATCACTATGGACATAGAGTGCCCAACCTTCCTTCCAAGGAGTGGCTGGTGGGTTTGAACCGCCAGCCTTCTGGTTAGCAGTCAAGTGCCTTAGGCACTATGTCAGCAGAGCTCCTATGGACTGCTAAAAGAACTAACAAATCTTTCCTGGAGCAAGTGCAGCCGGAAAGCTCCTTGGAAGCGAGAATGGCCAGACTTCGTCTCACCTACTATGGTTATGTTATCAGAAGGGACCATTCCCTGGAGAAGGATGTCATGCTTGGTAAGATGGAGAGTCAACAAAAGAGGGGAAGGCCCTCAATGAGATGGATTGACACAGTGGCTGTGGCGATGGGCTCAAGTATAGCAGGGATTGCGGAGCTGGTGCAGGACAGGGCAGTGTTTCGTTCTTCTGTGCACGGGGTCATTATGAGTTGAAGATGACTCGACAGCACCTAACAACATAACAACATCACTACGGAGATAGACTGCCCAATCTTCCTTCTGAGGAGTGGCTGGTGGGTTTGAACCGCCAGCCTTCCGGTTAGCAGGCATTATGCCACCAGAGCTCCTGTAGCTGTAATTATAGTGCATATATTACATACACATATGCATTATAATAATACATAGTAGTAATAATTATTAGTAATTATGTTTCACTTTCACAAAATGATGAAGCATTTATGTTCCAAATTACTGACATTTGGCTAATTACCTTTTCCAAATGTAAACAAGGAAAGAATCATGGCTAAAAAACATAAAACTTTTTTCCCCCAGAAATTGTAGTGTAGGAAGAATTTCAGCGAACCAGTTCCAAGGAACTCCTGGTTTCAGGAGCTAAACTGAAATCTGTGGAAATGGAGACAATAATAAAACCATAACGGGCTTTCTGAAACTCCTTGTAAATCAGGGTGTGGAAAACGCCCACTTCCTAGAAAATATCTTCAAAGTCTCATTTGACATTTCCATTTGCCAGGATGTAAATATTTACAGTAGATAGAACTTCAAAGGTAGTTCCCTGTGATATTAGGTTCCTGAATATCACATATCATCCATCTCCCATTAAATCTCCTAAAAAAAGCTAGATTTGGGGGGATTTTTTAGTGTGCAGACTTGAATTATTAATGGGAGGGTACTAACTAAATCAATCCTTTATTAAACAAGGCTTTGCCAGTAATTACCAGGAATCCTTAACAATCCAGTTCATTTTTGAAAATAAATAAAACTTCTTACTTATACGTATATTTGTTGTTGTTACTAGGTGCTGTGAAGTAATTTTGACTCTTTCCTTTTAATATTAACAGGGGTATCACTAACACTTTTACTGATGATCAAATGGAATCTTAGGGAGTAGGCTAGAATTTGACCATATGGTGCTTAATCCCAAATTTTTGAGTCACTCATTGTAACTGTCAGGAGCTTTGGTAGTGTAGTGCCTAAGGCATTTGATTGCTAACCAGAAGGCTGGCAGTTCAAACCCACCAGCCACTCCTTGGAAGGAAGATTGGGCAATCCACTTCCATAGAGATACTGCCTTGGAAACCCAAGGAGGGGTCACTATGAGTCGGAACCAACTTGACAGCAGTGAGTTTGGTTTGGTTTTATATTCTAACTATCACACATTAAGTAGAAATGTTGTGTCTTCTTATTTTTTCCAGTGCCTTCCATTCCTGAAAAAGGTTAATATGCCTTCTGAACAGAGCCCACTTACTACCATGAAGAAATTAATAGCACCTGGAGCAAGGTACCCACATTGACAACTTAATATGGGTTGTTTATACCCCATACATTGATAAAAGGAAGATAAATTAGTGTTCACTTACCTCCAAAAGTTGCAATAGCTTCTACTGCCCCATTATAGATGGAAGAATTTTGGGATGGTGCCTTGTAATCCCACAGGATTTGAACGTAGTTCAAAACCTGGTTAAAACCTGCTGTGGAAAGAGCCCACCACAAGGACCAGTAAAAAAGACGCTTTGAGGAGTAGCACTCCTTCAAATCTTGGAACCACTGCACAAAGACTCTCAAAGCCACATTGTCTGGCTTTGAGCTATTCAACTGGCTACCTTCCAGATTCCTGGAAACGGTGGCTATTTCTGGAGTAGGTTTCTCCTCGTCACAGCCTGGGACATCAACCGCTGCGTTTGTGTTGAGTGACTTCTGCACTTCTTTGCTGGGTGTGGCATGAAAGAACATGCTTTTTTGGGGCATTGGTAGAATAAGGGAGAAAAGAAAGGCCATGGAGACACACACCATGGATATGACATTGAGGTGAAAGTAGGAGATGTTTGCCACTGATACCAAGAGTTGGGCCAGCACTGAGGCGGCTGTGTAGGCCACCAGTGTGATGCTCCTACAGTAGCCACTCACTTTCTGATAATGCTCTGGGCTGACCACACTGTATATGTAGGCATAGTAGGCCACTTCAGTGGCGGTCACTATCCCATAGAAGAACTCAACAGCCTGCATAGCCATCACTCCTTGGCCAAACAAGAGTAGCAACCAGGTAACGATGAAGCTGATCCCTTGTAGGACGATGACGGGCTTGTAGCGGACAAAATCGGTGAGAACAAACACAGGTAACAGCAGCACCAGGTAAGAATAAGTCCAAATGGGAAGAATCTCATTTGTGATCTGCGAGTTGAAAAATGGCTCAAATGACCATGGAGCACCAGGAAGTGACAGAAATCACCTTAAGGCACACGTGCCTTGCCCAATATAAAATTCTGCAACCCACTGATTATTCTTCATATTATGGAAAAGCATAAAAGAGCCCCCTCTCCCCACTAAAATAAAATAAAATAAAATAAACCAAAACCAACATCTGGTTTATATATTTTAAGTGTGTCCCACTAGAAGAGTATATTGGGTTAATATTAAATCTGACCTGTATAATTAACAAATATAAATAGTATCTATATATGAGTAAATTAGTTAATAAGGATTGAAACATTTCCGAGCTCAGCCTCTGGGAACACTTAAAAAAAATACCATCTTGTTCAAAGAGGCAACATTAGGTAAAGAGGCTACACATGTTAGGAAAGTCTTCATGTTTGTACACATGAAGACAGCAAAGAGTAAATGACTTTGGAGGACTGGAAGATGGGAACAAGCACTGTGTTTCGTCTCCTTCCCGGGCAAACTGGCTGAGCTTCGACATCCTTCTCCCCCCACCTCTACTGATCATCTTTGCTTACTCACTTCTGGGCTATGGTCAGCTTATCGAGTTCAGTCAGAAATGCAGGGACCTTAATTTTTATAGATAGAAAGGACTAAAGAAGTAGTTGCTCTTTGGGGCATGATAGGTTAGAGCAGAAGCCTTTGAAATCACTGGGCCTCCATCACTGTTGACATTTGGACTCAAGGAGGTTGTTGTAAAGAGCCCTCGTGGTGCAGTGGTTAAGCATTCACCTGCTAACCAAAGGCCGGTGGTTTGAACCTATCAGCTGCTCCATGGGAGAAGTGAGTGGCAATTCTCTTCTGTAAAGACTACAACTTGGACATCCTATGGGGCAGTTCTGCTCTGTCCTATAGGGTTTCTGTGAGTTGGAATTGACGTGAGAGCTATGGGTTTGGATATTTTTTGGGGGAGGGGGTGTTGCTGAAGAAAGCACGGGACCCAGAACAAGGCCCAGCGTGACTATTGACTGGTTTTTACAGAAACAAATCCCAGTGGATTCATTGGGCTGATTCTGAATCTGATCTGTCCTTTGTTTAGTTTTAATTGTACAAGTTTCAACCCAGGAAACTCTGGAACAAAGTTGTCCCTAAACATATTTGGCAGAACAATTTTGACTTTCTATCTTTGCACCTCACCGTCAAGTCAACTAGCACTGATAGGTCTTCCAGATGAAGCCTCACTCCATCCAGCATTTTCATGGCTCTGCTGGAGATTCTAAAACCAGTCCAGGGAATTCTCTAGCAGGGCCAAGGCATTTTCTGGTTGCATTTGTTATAAGGAAAGAAAATAGATCTTTTAAGTAAGAATTTGGTCTTCTGGAAAGGAAGAAAGGGCTAAGAGATAAGGCTATTCTGCCTTAAAAAAAAACCCCAAAAACCAAACTTACTGCCATACAGGTGATTCCAACTTATAGCGACCCCCATTGGGTTTCTGAAGTGGTAAATATTTATGGAAGTAGATTGCTTGGTCTTCCTTCAGCAGAGTGGCTAGTGGGTTTGAACTGCCAACCTCCTGGTTAGCAATCAAATGCCTTAGGAACTGCACCACCTATATCACCTTCTCAGCTGCTAAATACTTTTTCAAAACTGAGTAAGAGATATTGCCTAAAGAAATTGTGGTACTTATGTTTGTGTGTCAACTTGGCTGGGCCTGGTTGAGTGGCTGGGCAGCTGGTGGTAGTTATTCCCCATGATGACAGTGGCAATCAACTCCATGGTGGATTCTACCACAAGCCTTTGGGTATGTGGTCTGCTTCCTGTATATAAGGAGAAGCCTTTGGGGATGGTCTCTAGCCTATGGCACGCTTGGGCCCTGCATGTAGCTGTGTCTTTGTTGAGCAGCCTGCTATGCTCTGCCAACCCTGGGACTTACAATGGACTCAAGTTACAATGGACTCAAGCCTGCCACGTGGTTTAGTAACATCAGGACTGTGCCTTTTTACTTGTCAACCTTGGGGCTTCTCAGCCTCAGCAGCCAGCAGCTGTCTGAGTGAAGAAACGCCTCTAGCTCCAGTGGGCCAGGAGCAGGAGGCAGAGCTGGACCCCAAGATTGAAGGGCTTTCACCCAGCCCCTAGAGCCTGGCACTTTGAACTTGGACTTAAAGCCTCCAAATTGTAAGAATAAACTCCTGTTTGTTAAGGTCATCCCATTTGTGGTATATTTCTTGTCAGAGCGGCACTAGGGAACCAAAACAGAATTTCTACAATTCTTTATCAGATTCTTCTTATATTTCAGCAGCATGAAAGTTTATCAGGACTAGATCCTGTGCCTGGCATGCAGTCTAATTATCCTAGGATTCATAGAATGAAAATATTGACTGAAATGGAACACCTGAAATGTTCCCAAGCACTAAGACTAATGTTGTTGTGGTTGTTATGTGCCGTCGAGTCGGACCCAACTCATAGTGACCCCTCCTTGGGTTTCCAAAGCAGTATCACCACGGAAGTAGATTGCCTAACCTTCCTTCCGAGGAGTGGCTGGTGGGTTTGAAGCACCAGCCTTCTGGTTAGCAGTCAAATGCATTAGGCACTATGCTACCAGAGCTCCTAAGACTAATGTTAGGACTCTAAAAATGTAAAATACTTCAGAATTTTCTCTGCCTACTTTTTGAATGGAAGGAAAGAGTAGTTGAACAGTTCCAACATATGAGAAATAAGAAAATGAGGTGAGTGTGTTCATCTTATTTCAAGTTGAACAAAACTCTTGAGTCTATGTTCTTGCTCAAGTACTGTAGAAATTAAAACCACAGTGAAATCAACACATATATTAACCTACCTCTTCACTCGTCAGGTTTTTATCTGGTCCAGATAAATATGGGATGAGGAATGGTTCTGAAGGTCTCATCTGGGAGAAAAATCCAAATAGGCAGAGGATCACAGTGGGATAAATCCAGGAATGACTCGGTGAAGTTTGGAAACAGTCCATGGCTGATCAAATGAAAACAAAGCACAGATTAACTTGTATCTATTCTTTCTAGCTTCTTGTATGTAATGAAAAATGGACTATTTCTGAAGGTTTTAGGAAAGGTAAAGTATCATCCACAGATGGAAGGGAAAGGAAATTGCTCTCAAATATTCTATCAGTGAGACAGTCAAATCCTCCTTTGTCAGTGAATCTGAAAATTTTCATTGAATTTCTGATAGCAGCTCTTCTTTGTGCTCTCCATCACAGGCATGGTAAGTACATGGTAGCCCCTAATACATGGTAAAAGGAGTCCTGGTGGTGCAATGGTTAAGCACTCAGCTGCTAACCAAAAGGTCAGCAGTTGGAACCCACCAGTGGCTCTGCAGGGAAAAAGCCTGGCAATCTGCTCTTAAAAAGATTTCTGCTTACAACACTCTCTGGAGAAATTCTACTCTTTTTTTTTTTTTAATGCATTTTATTGAAATATAATTTATGTACAGTGAAATACACAAAACTAAAGTGACATAGGTCAATGAATTTTTTTTTTTTTTTGCA